AGGATTTTACTTACTTGCCTCCATGGTCGACTTTGATAAAAATCGACCATGTGATATTATTTCCACCACGCTCGATCCCCCTAGTAAATGGCCGAATTCGCCTTGCCTCCTCAATCATTCACGCCATACCCTTTGACACAGATACCTTTGAAGGATACTATCACGAATGCCTTCACAGGGAAATCTGTTTTATCGGTTCGAACCCCAGCAGTGTTCATCGATAGGGCTATCTTTTCGAGAAACTGTGCCAAAATGCAGGAGACAGTAAAGTCATGGGGAACAAGATTTCGAGCACACGTAAAGAGTCACAAGGTAAGGGAATATAATTAGCTTGATGTCTTCTAAGCATCTAACCTAACTCATAGACGACGGAAGGAGCTCGGCTGCAACTGCAATCCACGGCCGGACAGTCATCTGCGGTAATTGTATCGACCCTGATGGAAGCAAAGCAGATTATAGAAAGTGGCCTCGTAAAGGAGGGCGTCGTAGACGATGTGAGTAACTGAGCATATGCCATATCTAGACTAATTGCGTTTGCGTTATTTAGATACTCTATGGGTTACCGGTTGCACCTACCAAGATTGCGGATATTGCAGAGATGTCGAGTACTATGGCTCAACTAAACAGCAAGGCAAAGTTTAGGTTGCTTGTTGACAACGTCCAACAAGTCAAGGCGCTCGCTGCTTTTGGAAATAATATCACATGGTCGATTTTTATCAAAGTCGACCATGGAGGCAAGTAAGTAAAATCCTATCTATTTCTTTTGGATTGAGGTCTGATGCCACGCCAGGCGTGCCGGTTTACCCATCGGATCAGAAAGTTTGAAAGATCTGATCCAATTGGTCCTTTCTACACCTTCGATATCTCTATTTGGCTTCTATTGCCATGCTGGAGATTCGTATGCCTCAACCTCTTTTCAAGAGGCGTCATCATTCTTGACAACAGAAATGCAAACAGTCAATGCTGCCGGCTTACTCGCTCTGTCTCTGATGAAGGACTTGGGTAACACGAGCCGTCACCAAAATCCACTGGTGCTATCTGTTGGCTCTACACCAACGGCACACTCGGCCTCTCTAATCGAATCTCCAGCTGACGCTCTCCGCGCAGCAGTGACCGGAGGAGAGCTCGAGATTCATGCAGGAAATTACCCACTCTGTGACCTTCAACAAATCCATACAGGACTCGTTGAACCAAAGGATGTCTCTCACCGAGTTCTAGCTTCCGTCATCAGCTATTATCCTGGACGAGGGGAGAATGGGACAGATGAGGCTCTCTGCGATGCTGGTGGAATTTCCATGAGCAAGGACAGAGGACCAAGTGGGGGTTTTGGAGACGTGGTCCCATGGGACGTAGATGACACTATCGGGAAGAGGGAGACAGACGGTTCAGTGACTTGTGAGTGGAGACTCGGTCGGTGTAGTCAAGAGCATGGAATTTTGGTAAAGAAGAGAACCGGAAGCTCTCAAGGAAACGAAGCATGTCTCAATCCCGGAGACCATGTTTGGATTATCGGACAGCACGCATGCCTAACGTTGGCGGCACACCCTTGGTATTATATCTTGGATTCAAGTATCCAAGGCGGCATGGATACCATTCAAGACATCTGGGTATCATGGAAAGGCTGGTAAAGGATGGTTGATTTTCTGAGATGTACATTTGTATCTCTTCTTATACAGATGCGATGCACTCTATTTCTACATCTGCGTCTCCTGGAAGTTTAGCAGCTTGTATACACGTCCTCGCCGGTTTGGGAGTTGGTAAAAGCTAATTGATATGGCTGAGCAGTGACCTCTAGACATCATATACCACGTACCTTTTCATAGACTTCATTCATCGCCGCGAAATCATCCATATTCTTGAGATAAACGTTCACCTTGACGACTTTTTCCCAAGATGAGCCCGTAGCGTTCAGGACATTGGTAAGTTTTGCGATGCATTCCGCCTACCAGGTTCGGTGAATGTTTTGCATGAACAAAGAGTTTAATGGTATATAGAGGTTATATTCTAACCGTATGTTCGCCAATTCCACCTTCTACAAGCATCCCATCCTTCCCGTGAGGTGTCTGTCCACTCAGGAAGATCAATCCGGGGATTTTGACCGCATGAGAGAGGATATGGGAATGATCAGGATTCTCCGGGGCATTGATCTTTTCAATCGAGCTCATTGTGTCTACAGTCGCTTCGATCCAAGTCTTGGAAGTCAATAAGTTGCTCAATTCGAGAGGCCGGCTGGACGTCACGTCGAGGACATCCTCTCTATCATATCTTTACTAAGATGATACATTATGTCAAATATTATCACTATTAAGCATGGTTTGTCACCAATACCAACATGATGAGCCAAACTACAATGCGATTGTTGGGACAAGTGCGCATCTTGGATCCTTCCCAACCCAACTCCTAACAAGACACGCTTCATCTAGCCAATAGAACACATCCAAGATTTATGACTCGTCCGGCTGAGCAAATTGAACGTTCGAAACCTCTCTGAGGCGTTTGACTCTCTCATGAGGGCTCATGCAATTGCACGCGAGGCACTGGGACGATCGACTGGCCAAAGCTTGCAACCCTAGCAATCTGGATTTACAACTCGTCGCTGAATAAAGAACTTAACGGCGGCTATAAGGGCATTCACTCTCAAGAGTTGTTTATGTCAATAGTGTAAGCTGGCTGATGGCCGGTAAATAACGACACCTAATTTGGGTACATGTGTGAGCCTCTATTCAAAGATCAGGCTCTGAATTTGACTTCGATGATATTTCTACCGTTTGATTTGGACATACCGCGCGAGAATAATTGCATTTTCCAACTGTCTGACCACCTCGATCGAAGTGGACACTCTCCAGGATCCAGCTCAAACGGAAATTCGATTGAAATCAATTACACGGGAGAAGGCCACCGCAAAGTGGAATCATCTTTTCTCTCCCTTTTGTCTCAAAAAGGCGAATAAGATTGCTAGTTTTTATCGCACCAGTATGTACGGTGAGGTTGTGGTGTTTATATTTTGGTCGTGCAATTGGCCGTCGGTCCATTGTTCCAACCTCTATGGGGTTGTTTGTAAAACCCATCGGCCTCAATGGGCTTTGTTTTCGCACCAGGAACAGTGGCTGAGAAGACTATTCTACGACATAATGTTGGTTGATGGCTCGGACACAAGGGCCCCAATTACTCCCCTAATGAAAACTTCCCTAACTAGTTGCCATTAGTTGGGTTGTTCTCCACCATCACCCTGTACTCTTTCTTTTGCCTCCCTCTGGGAGGTTGAGGGCGAAACGTAATTCATGCCTAGTGAGTGCTTCGAACGTCCCGTCACTCCTGATATCATCGCTCCTATACCATTATTCTCCCGGATTATTCAAATATTATACTAATGTCCTCGATCAACAGCTTCTCCGAATGTTCCCTTATCGTACAATACCTATCACGACCAGCCTGATCCCAATGGCGCGGCCGGTTATTCTCAGCAGTATAATACGGACCAGTATCAATCAACTGTATACCCTCTAGTACCCCATTCCTTCAATACGAACAACGATCGGAACTCGGATGCGTCATACCGTCCGCCACCTCTGACAGCGCAAACTTCATGGGCTCCTACCTTCGATGCTGCATCATCATCGAGGCGGCTTGGAAATACAAGGCATATGGGAGCTGAGGAAGGATCGAGAGATGGATATTGGGGTATGCTTCGGCATAGTAACCACCTATATCCTGATGCCCCACCAGAAATAGACCCCTATATGGTACCTCGTGTAGGGAGTTTAGGATTACGCTCTAACTCGATTAGTAGTAGCATTACGGATACCTCGAGCTTAAGTAGTCTATCCAGTGGGGATAGAGCTACCAACTTCCATGATCCCAACGCATATCCAATGCATTCGTACGACCCCGGCCTTTCACAAGGGTACCAATATCCGGGTGGTAATTATTACTACCCAACCCAGTATCCCTATCCCTTATTTCACGCTGAAACGTATGGAATACCGCCAGACGCATACGCGTACCCAGCTCCTTACCTGTCATTCACAAATCCATTTCCAGAAACCTACCCCACCAGCCAGTTCAGATACTCACAACCTTACTCATCTATCCCG